TCCAAAATATGTAAGCCATAGTCTCGCCATCCTTGCTTCTAAGGAGCATTCTGTTTGTACTTCTTCCAAGACAGATTTGTTCATTCTTTTGGCAGTTCATGGTATATTCAATATTCTTCGCCAACACCACAATTCAAAGGCGTCAATTCTTCGGTTTTCCCTATTCATTGTCCAGCTTTCACATGCATATGTGGAGATTGAAAACACCATGGCTTGGGTCAGGCCCATCTTAGTCTTCAAGGTGACATCTTTGCTTTTCAACACTTTAAAGAGGTCTTTTGCAGCAGCTTTGCCCAATGCAATGCATTTTTTTTATTTTTTGACTGCTGCTTCCATGGATGTTGATTGTGGATCTAAGTAAAATGAAATCTTTGACAACGTCAATCTTTTCTCCATTCACCATGATGTTGCTTATTGGTCCAGTGGTGAGGATTTTTGTTTTCTTTATGTTGAGGTGTAATCCATATTGAAGGCTGTGGTCTTGGATCTTCATCAGTAAGTGCCTCAAGTCCTCTTCACTTTCAGGAAGCAAGGTTGTGTCATCTGCATAACGCAGGCTGTTAATGAGTGTAAGCCATGGTATTTTCAGCTGCCTCATATGCATGCAAAAGCTGGATGATGAATAAGGAAGATTGAAGAATTGATGCATTTGAATTATGGTGTTGGTGAAGGATATTAAATGTACCATGGACTGCCAAAAGAACGAACAAATCTGTCTTGGAAGGAGTACAGCCAGAATGCTCCTTAGAAGCAAGGATGGCAAGACTTCATGTCACTTACTTTGGACATGTTAGCAGGAGAGACCAGTCCTTGAGAAGGACATTATTCTTGGTAGAGTAGAGGGTCATCGAAAAAGAGAAGACCCTCAACGGGATGGACTGACACAGTGGCTGCCAGTGATGGACTCAGGTATAGCAACCATAGTGGGCATGGCGCAGGACCGGGCAGTGGTTCATTCTGTTTACTCACTGTGAGTCAGAACTGACTCGAGGGAACCTATGAATAACAGTAGCAGCAGCACCTGTGAGTAACAGGAATGCTGACTTGGCAGCAGCTTAAAGAAAACAAGTATCTATTTTCCTGCATCGCTGAGGTCTTGAGGTAGGCGTCACTGACCAGAGCTGGCCCCGGTCTCCACGGTGATAGCACAGACCCCGTTCCTTCATGCTGTCCACTCAGCTACCCTTAGCAAGTCAGCGTGTCACCTCGTGATTGCATAGCGGCCCCTATAGCTCCCAGCTGTCTACCACATCCCAGACAGGAAGCTTGAGCAGCAACACCTGCATGGGCCCCTTTTATCAGGATGCATCGAAACCTTCTCTTTAGACCTCACTGGCCAGCGCTGGTCACCTGGCCACCCCTGGCTGCAAGGGAGCTTGGGAAAATGGGGACCAGAATTGCAGCCATTAGGTTAGATGATTGATTCTCAGATGGGGCTGATACTGCCTCCCAGGGGACATTGGCAATATCTGGAGACACTGAGTTGTCACAACTGGGGGGATGCTACTGGCATCTGGTGGCTAGAAGCCAGGGATGCTGCTAAACATCCTACAACATGCACAGGGCAGACCCCCACAACAAAGAATCATCCAGCCCCAAATGTCAACAGTGGTGCGCTTGTGAACCCCTGGGTTAGACCTATCATGATTTACTATCTGGAATCGAGCATGCTGCTGCCTTGAATAAAATAGAGGACGTCGTAGAGGCAACTCCCAGGGTCTGCCACGGCACTAAACATGCCCCAGCAAATGGAGCCCAACTCCTGTCTACATGGCCAGAGCACTGGGCGAATCAACCCGCAGGAGGGGGTGAGGTCGCTCAGGTTCTCGTGGGGAGGTCATGAGAAGGTCTCTGTATTCCCTGAAAAATACACGGATAAAATGCTGATCATCAGTTCTTGCATTTCTTGACTTAATTACTACATCTGTTGCTGTTGTTAGATGCCATTGAGTTGGCCTCTGACTCATGGCAACCCCGTGCAAAACGGAAGAAAGTGATGCCCAGTCCTACACCATCCCCATCATCAGTTGCAGATCAGACCCTTGTGAGCCATAGGGTTTTCAGTGGCTGATTTTCAGAAGTCAACCGCCAGGGCTTTCTTCCTACCTACTATGTCTAGGTCATTAATATTATCTTTACTAGCAGTTTCTTAAGGACGTGAGCCCCTCACTTACAGCATGACCCAGGTACTAGGGCTGCATTTGTATAAGTCAGAATGGCCTTTGTTCTTTAGCGTGTTTGTATTTTCTAAGATGATTTTGAAAAGGTAAGCGAGCAAAAGGAAGACGACGGGGAAACTTTGGACAGCTGTTCCTTTAGTTTTTCCATTAGCCTTTGAAAAATGTCTCTTCCGAGCCATGTTCATTAAGATTTTAATTTTGCAGTTTGTTCCTGTTTAAGTGACATGCAATTAATTAAGGTTTAAATGTGTCACCTATTTTTTGCAATGACATTTTTACTGCCCCCTTTTCATTTTAGTCAGTTTATAAATTATACTCCAGCTAATGAGTTCCATCTTGATTTCCAGTTCTAAATAATTACCACTCTCCTAATACACCAATTCTTTAATGTGTCACAGAGTTAAGACCGTTACCAGGAGAGCTCAGGTGGGCCGTGGGGCACTGTGGGCTGGAGGGCCAGGAGGTGGCTTTGCTCCCTGCATCTCTGGGTTCAGCACATGTTGATCGGGGCTGCCTGTCAGACACTCGGGTCTGCGTGGGATAGAAAGGAAGAGGCCTTGGTCAGGCCCGGTCCCCTGGGAGCTGCGCATGAGATGATTGCCCTAGTTCTCCTCGTTGCTTTGCCAGTGGAAACATGACTAATGGGACTTGGACTCCTGAATGATTTTTAACTGTATGTGGGGCTGTGATTGGACCAAGATTAACTGAACCGCAATTCCTTGTTAATTTCTATACTACCCATTGCCATTGCGTCGATTGTGACTCATGGCGACCCCATGTGTTACAGAGTAGAACTGCTCCACAGGGTTTCTCCGCTAATCTTAATGAAGATGGGTCCCTGGGTGGTGCAAACGTTAAGTGCTCGACTACTAGCCAAAAGGCTGGTAGTCCCAACCCACCCAACGATGCCTCAGAAGACAGGCCTGGTGATCTGCTTCCTAAAGGTCACAGCCTTGAAAACCCTATGGAGCAATTTTACTCTGCACACATGGGGTCACCATCGGTTGGAACCCACTCAGTGGCAACTAACAACAAGAATCTTAGTGGAAGCAGATCACCAAGCCTTTCTTCCAAGATGCTGCTGAGCAGGTTCCGACTGCCAATGTTTAGATTAACAGCTGAGCGTAAGCCATTTGTACCATCTAGGGAAATCTCCGTTTCTTTACTACTGAGCTAAAGTTTTTACAGATCCCACCGGGCTGAGTTGAAGTTTAACTCTGCAATATTTAGGGGGCAGTGGGAGGCACAGAGGAGACTTACTAAGCAAGGGACTAGTGTAAGACTTTGAGGAAGAGGCCTGCTCTGCTGTGGTGGGGAGCGCCCTGGGCTGAGGGTCGTAGACCTGGGTCTGAGGCCAGCTCTCTCGGTTACCAGCTGTTCGACCCAGCTGAAGGACCCCCAGGCAGGTCCTTCGACCACTTGGACCACCGTCCATTCTGTAAGGAGCCTTTGTTAAATGCATGCCTCCTCCCAGCCAGGATTGTGTGTATTGGAGAAGCCACACCCTGGTAAATAAGACCTCACCCACCTGAGCAGCCGTATGAGGAGTGAAGGAAGGGAAGGACCAGACGTTTCCTGCAAGATAGGAACCACTGACTTCCTCACAACATATCTGAGCAAAACTTGGGAGGGTGAATGGGACACGAAGCGCCTTGCAAGTGACTGTTACTGTTTTTAGAACATTCTAGTAGCATCCTTCTAGTACTCGCAGAGTACCTTTTTTGTCTATGTCATCTCGCCATCGCTGAGAATCAATGGAATCATTTTTTTTTTTTTAAAAAATTATTTGACCCCTGAAACTATTACCCTGAGTTAATCTTGAAACATTAAACCAAAAATATCCCCTGAAATCATCTTAAAACCAAACAATGGTTTAGCTTAACTAGTAAACCATGTCTGCCTTGAGCACTGTGCTCTTTGAAGAACCATATACACGGGATCAAACTGATAACAGTAACTCAAAAGGTTACACAGGACACATAGGGGGCCGGGAGTTTATGTTACTGTCGTTGATAGGCGTCATCGAGTTGCCTCCGACTCATACTGACCCTGTGTATACAGAACTAGAAGCACTGCCCCGGCCTGTGCCATCCTCATAACCGTTGTTTGAGCTCATTGTTGTAGCCACTGTGTCAGTCCATCTTGCTGAGGGTCATCCTCTTTTTCTGATGACCCTCTACTTTTCCAAACATGATGTCCTTCTCCAGGGACTGATCCCTCCTGGTAACATGTTCCAAGTATGTGGGATGACGTCTTGCCATCCTTGCTTCTAAGGAGCATTCTGGCTGTACTTCTTCCAAGTCAGATCTGTTCATTCTTCTGGCCGTCCATGGGATACTCAATATTCTTTGTCAACACCATGTTAATGGGGGAGGATGACTCAGAAAAAGAGGGCGAGAACGGCTGCACAATTTGAAGAATGTCATCAATGTCACTGAACTGTACAGGTAGAAACGGTCGAATTGGTGTATGTTTACGGTGTATATTCTCAACAACAACAGAATAAAAGAAAATATTTTAGAAAATTCTGATTCAGGTGCTGAATTCCGGAAGGTTTTTCTTTTTCTTTCCTTGTTGGTTCTAATCTAGGAAAGACAAACCATTAAAAGAGCACTGAGGGTAGTTTCGTTATGATAGTAACATATTAGGGGACCGTCAGAGTGGGTGTTGAGTTCAAAGAGCAGACAGCTCTAGGGTGGAGTCTGTTACTAGGTTTTGGAAGTTTTGCTTTTGCTCCAGTCCATGCCTTTAGTTCTCTGCCTGTCAAAGGGACACGTTTTATTGCCCCCACCCATGCCTGTCTGTGTTTTCTCTGTGCAGGGGCCGATGTCCACGCACGAGACCCCCGCCGCAGGCTGTCGTCGCAGGAGTGGGCCGCCTACACGGGACGCGCAGAGGCGGTCCGCCTCATCCAGAGGCTGCTGGAACGCCCCTGCCCTGAGCAGTTTTCGGAAAAGTACAAGCCAGAGTTGCCGCTGGCCCCGGAGGCCGTTCTGAAGCCCTCGGGCTCCAAAAACTGCTTGCAGAGGCTCACCGAGTTCCTGCGGTCCGCTATGACCTCCCGCTCAAGCCAGGGCCCGGAGGATGGGGGCGCCCTGGATCACATGGTGAAGATGACCACAAGCCTCTATAGCCCGGCGGTGGCAGTCGTCTGTCAGACCGTGTGCCCCGAGAATCCCCCCTGCGTGGGGAAAAGGCGGCTGGCGGTGCAGGAAATCTGGGGGGCTCAGGGCGACCGGGACGCCCATGCGCAGTGCAGGGACAAGGCGGAGGGCCCTGAGCGGCAATATCAGACCTCCCAGGCCGGAAGAGTGTCCAGCGAGGCGTCCCCGAGAGCCAGCCTGCCGCCGCCCCCCCTGCCGAGTGCCCAGGTGGCCGCTGCCTCGCGGAGGACCAGCCTCCTGCCCCTGCAGCTGCTGAGGCGGAGCAGCGTGCGGCCGGGCGTGGTCATCCCCAGGGTCCGCGTCAGCAAGGCGCCGGCACCCACCTTCCAGCCCGAGCGGGCGGCGGCCAAGAGCAGCACCAAGGACAGCACCCACCTGCAGATCCCCAAGTGGCGCTACAAGGAGGCCAAGGAGGAGAAGAGGAGGGCGGAGGAGGCAGAGAGGAAGCGCACGGCGGAGGCGCAGAAGGAGCGGCGAACATCTCCGTGGAGGAAAAGGACGTGAGGCGGGTCAGCACGAGGAAAGTGTGGCCGGACGCAGGGCCCCAGCCGGGATGCGTGGGGGACACTGCCCGGACACCACGGAGGAGGAGGCCGTCAGAGCCTGCAGTCTGCACCGAGAAGGGGAGCCTTCCTCCTGTTTCGGCCCCCAACTCTGCCCTCGGCCTCCTGTTCACAGTCTCCTTCCTTCCTTCCCAGGGACCCCCAAAGCGGCCCTTGCTGGTTTGTTCCAGCCGCACCCCAGAGTGAATTGGGATTCACACTAATTGATTTGCCTAAAACCAGTTCACCTAGTCGTCAACACACCAGTGGCCGATTTGCCTAAAAGTCTACCTTCTTTAGAAGCTCAATTCAGAATTTCTTTAGGCCAACTTGTCAAAGGGCGTTTTCTGTATAATTTTGTATTTTTAATGATTATTTATCAAATTTGCAGCACTTTAGGGGCGATGGGGCTCTTTGTAGAGAAGGCAAGTTGAATACGTGTGTCTGAAGAACCTTTGTTGAAAATGCTATTTCTAGCAATAAATATTTATAATATCAGAGATTTCATACAGACCGTGTGGAATTCTCCCCTTTTTTGCTGTGTTTTTGTCTTTGCCCTCCCTTCTGACGGTGGGCGCTGTGGCACTGAGTGGTCTCAGTAACTCCATGAAGTGATTCAGGTGCACGTTCTCTCTGATGGAGGCGTTGACTTTTACAGTAAAACAGTCCCGTGAGACAGAGGGACCCCTGTCACTGTATCCTGTTTTTTAGGCTCTATTCGTACATCATTACTCTGTACTTAACAATAAGGAAGAAAAGCATACATCTGTTGCCAAATTATGTTAAATATGTTAATTACAAAACTGCATAGATAAACAGGTATTTATTGCTAGAACTCAACTCCTATGAAGCAAGGGACTTTTGATCAACTGGATACAAAGTTCTTAATAAATGAAAAATAGATGTTATAGAGAAAAAACTTACTATCATTGGATAAGATGGGGCAAATTTCATAAGTGATTACTAGAAATACAAAATTAAGTCATATGTGCCCTTAGACAAATTGAATCCAGATAGCCTTCAAATGCACAAGGGTAAAAAAAAAAGTACGAAACCCAGAATAATGCAGAACTACTGAAACGGGAGGGGTGATTTTTGAAGGACCAGGTTATTAGAATTGACTATTAAGTGATCTTGTTCTAGGCAGATTCTCTGGAAATGGGGTGGACAGCCCCTCCTCCTGACTCAGTTCCAAACATCCCCTGGGGTGTGTTTATTTTCATTTTTGATGACGCCCCTGACGCTCAGCTGCTCCTCAGGCCAACTATACAGTTTCCAAGATGGAGGCCTTCGGCAGGGCATGTGTGTGACTCGCCCGGGCACCGAGCTCTCCGGGGACTTTTCTGCCCCTATTTTCACTCACAGCACTGAGGAATGGTGATGCATCTCTGCCCATCTGGGCCGCGGGGTATCTGTCACATCTGCACTTTATTTAAATGTTGTCCTTCTTGGAAGCATAGATTTACAATAGCACAGACCAACTAGGAACTTGACTCTAACCCTGGATGTTCCGGTCAAATCGCGTTCCCTGGCCACGGTGACATGGTGGTGTGTGGGAGGGGGAGCGGGGCGCCGACTCGTCCTCTTCCCTCCCACTTGGCATCATCGGGGCATTGTTCAGTCAGGGGTCTCACAAAAGCAGGTGAAACAGGACATCAAGCTGCACCCAACACATGGGAGCCCGGCGTGGTGATGGTGCAGCTTTTAGATCAGATTCTAGTGAGCTCCTGCTTCACTCCAGAAAGGCACCACGCTGAAGGCCACTGGTACTAGTTGGCATTGAGAAACTCGTGCCCAGGAGCTGGGATTGGCCACGTCCCCTCGGACAAAGCATCCTGCGGGTGATGAAGGCTGTGACAGACCTCGGTTACCTTTGCAGGTTGTCCTTCTGCCACGTGTACACAATCCACGGCATCACCGAGCTTGCCGCCAGCCCCACCCTCACCTCTGACAGCTGCAGAGCCAGCCAGCCAGTGCCAAATGGCCCAGGGATTCTCAACCCTGGCTGCCCCTGAGGATCACCTGGGACCTCTTCATCAACACCACTCCCTGCCCCACGGCAGAGATGCCCATTGGGTTGGTCTGGGGAGCTGCACCCCAAGATTTTGGTATAAGCTCCCCAGGGGATTGCGCTGTGCAGCCTGCATTGAGGACGCCGGCTTTCACACATGGGGACTGTGAGGGGCCCAGTACCCTTTAGGTGTGTCTTGCAAGATGCAAACACTGAGCCTACCAGCTGCCACCAAGGACTCTACCTGCGTAAGAACATCCAGTTGTCCTTGGTAGATCAGCTGTAAGGCAGGTTCTGCCCTCAGCGGATTGCTAAATGCTTCTGCCTGTTCCCACCACGGAAGTTTGTTTTGGGAGTAGTATGGAGCCCCACCCCCACCCCAAGGCTTAGGTCTCCAGCTGCTTACCTGTCACGAGTTTATATTTCTGGTTCCCCTCACCCCTCACCCCCAGCCTTCTATCTCATCACAACCCATTTTCAGAGTCTTCAATTAGGAGTAAGGTACCAGGGGTGTGACGGCAACATCCCGGAAGTTTCCTTCAGGCCCCGGGCTGTTCTGAAGTAGGTGAGTGGGGCCCTAGCCCCCAGGTGCTCCAGCCTCCCCCTGGTGTCCAGGGCACGTCGGGACTGCGTCTACGTGTCTAACAACGCACCAGGAGACACGTGCACTTAGAAAAGCTCGTGGAGCCAGCAAGCGTGAGTCAGGCTGTGATTTCTCCGACAAACCGGAAGGTGTGTTTGCTACTTTCCCTGTGGATCGGAAACAGGGTATATGGCTGGCATTAGCGAATGCCAGGAAGAACGAGTCCTGGGGCCAGCGACGGTGCAGAAGGATGGGAAAGTCCCTCTTCTTGGAGGACTTTTGTGTGAGAAGAATCTGATTGAGAAAACTTGCAAGATCCAAGTGAACCCAACCCAGTTTGGGTTCAATCTCTTACCCAGCCCCTCCCTCCAGGATTTAATGGCCTGCCTGTCCAAAGGGAAGCCCGTCGCCCTTTTCATGGTCTCTCGAGGGGTCCAGGCTGCTCTGCAGCTCTGCTCACGCCCAGGCAGCTCAGCAGTTCTCATTTCTGCCGGGTGTAAGCAGATTTGCTAGCAGAGGAGTTTTCCAAGGCAAGGCAAGTGTCTGCCAAGTTTCTCCCCTTGCTCGGTGGGGGGATGCTTTTGAGTTTGTTTTCTGTTCTCTTTGGAGGATGCAGCAGGAGGACAAGGCAGGCCCCTTGCCTAGACTCAGGGAGGGAAGTCTCTGGTTTTCTACAGGGCGGTCATCTGGGGTTATCTTCCTGCGGGCTGGAGGCTCTGCACAAGGGGACGTGGGCAGGCGTGTGTGCTTCTCTGAAATGACAGCATCAGCCCAAGAGCGAGAGGAGACAAAGAGGCAGCGGAGGGGAAGGTGATAGGATCGGTCTGTTCTTGAGCAACAGTATTATGCTACTATTTTTGGGCAAATGGTCTGTTAGAGAAGCCGTGGTCATCTGGTCCCTGAGGTGGAAACACCTTCTAGTCTCCCTGACGCTCCTCCAGGCTGCCATTCTTTGAGATGGTTTTTGTTTTTGTTGCTTTGGACGACTGTATTCGCTGACTGAGTGGTCAACCCTTCTCTCCATTTCTCCCCTTTGTGTCCGTCTTGGAAGGACGGGGGCCATCTCTCGAGTCAGCAGCCACCGCAGGGTCCTCTCTGGCTTCATCACGACGTTTGCCACCTGCCAGCCCCTTCGCCACCTCTCTTCTCCACCCCTTGCCTTTTCTTCCTCCGGCTGTTTTCTTTTCCAGCTTTGGCTAAATCCCTTGCTTATTCCTGGTGGCCCTCCTCTGAGATTGAAAGAGGGCAGAGAATCCAGAGGACCACGTGATGGCAGCATAGCGTCCCTGCTGAATCCTCATGTCATGGGCTCCAAATGTCAAGGGGTGAACGGGCAGCAGAGGGCTCTGGCCTCTGTGGTGGGGTGGAGACTGTGGCTCAGCACCCCCCCCCGCCCTTTTCAGGAAAGGAGACCCATTTGCTCCTGACACAGGACAGTTCTCGCTGTGCAGAGGGTGGAGGTGGGGGTGGGGTGGGCGTTTGCCTGCACCTTTGGCGTCTACCAGCTGTAAATAATGCATTTCAAGTTGACGGGTACCTTCTCAGGGATTTATATAGAAACACAGTTACAGGAAACGCTGACGCATATTTTAATATTTTTTAGTGCTTGAGTGAATTATGATTAAACTGGATTAAAGAATCGAAGAGATACCTCAAGACAATTTTCAATGCTGCTGTTTTCCAATAAGATTTTTGGGAATTGCCCCTCGGTTGAGGTTTCTGTGGCTATTAGAAAACCAAGTCTGTGGCAGCCGAAAGGGCTTTGGGAGGTACATGAAGTCACTTCAGTGCTTCGCAGTTGCCTCCTGTAGATGTGAAGCCTTGTATTTAAAACAATCATCCTCCCATCAGTAGAGATGGCCGTTGGATAACGTAGATGGCGCATCCACCACTTTTCCCTCCAGACCTGGTTACTTTCAGTCCAATATTGGCGTATTTCGTGTGAGGAGACAGTTTTTCTACTTGCTTTTGTGAATAAGGAGTCCCTGGGTGGTGCAAACAGTTAGTTCAGCTGCTCACCAAAAGGTTGCTGGCTCAAGTCCACTCACAGGCACCTCAGAAGAAAGTCCTGTCCATCTACTTCCGAAAACTCAACCATTGAAAACCCTATGGAGCACAGCTCCACTCTGAGACTCACGGGGTCACCATGAGTCGGAGATGCCTCAAAGGCAACTGGTTTTACGTGAATAAAGTGTTCCACAGTCAGCCCAGCACTAAACTCACCGATGGAAAGAGGAAAGGCTCCGAGAAATTCACATGGAGTCACCGTGGTGTTCAATGCACCATCTGTGTGTTTGGCTTCCCGAGAGAACCACACCATCTAGCATTATGAACTTTTCTGTCTGACGCTCCTCTCAACAGGCTCCTGGCGGCACTAGATACCTCAGAAATTTGAAGCTCAGAAAAGGCAATACCTTTATCGTCTCAGCTTTGGGCATTCCCAAGATGCGAGGCTCATTTTGTGGAGAGAGATGAGAGAGATTTCATGGATCAGTTGGAAAATGGAATTGGCGGATGCAGGAGGGCTCTTTCTGACAGTTCTGTGTATCTCCTTCCGTGGTCAGCGGGTGACAGCTTCTCCAAAGTCGAGCATTCAATTAGAGACGAGGCTGTCGTCAGTGATGCTGAGTCCCATGATGTGAGGCTGGGCTCCAGTCCTAAAATGGATGCAGAGCAGTAGGGAAGAATCGTGAGTACCATGTTGTTATGAAGGAAAAGCATCCCAGAGAAGCAAATGAATTAGTCAAAACTCAGAAAGGAGTATAACTTGCTGGCAGGAGCACAGTACTGTTTGCCCGGGCTACCTTGGGAGAGTTTGTCTTCCTCTTCATCATTGACTTTGGTACCTCAGTTATGTGAAACGAGACACAGTCTCGACGCCAGCCTAGTTCTAGCCTTTCCCCCAG